GTAGGTGGGGCAGACAGTAAAAAAACTCCTTAGGCATCATTCATAGGTTTAGGGCATCATTCATACAAAGTCAACTACGACGGTTTTTGAGAATATAACAATCAAAAGAGGAGAAGGGGCCGGCATGTCCCTGTGAAATCAATTAAAAAGCAGGCAGAACAGGAACAGGGACAAGGCGCCGGAAAAACTGCGATCGATGGGTAATTCATAGAGATCTGGACAATCGTATAGACTGCTCAACCGGTTTCTTTTTTAGCACCAGCGGGCCGATAGAGGAAAATTGAGACTTTGGGCAACCGTTTGATTTATATGTAGTTCGACCGTGCGATCATCGTGAGGGTAGTGTAGGGACGGTGACTGGCACGTTTAATGATAGTAGGCTTGTGCGGCATCTACGACGCGCTCTTTGCCTTCACCCGCCCGTGCCCGGTGTAAAGGTAGAATCAAGAACATCGGAAACGAGGCAAGGCGCAGATGAACATTTGATTCATATAAAACGCTGTTAACGGAGTGTCGACACACGGGGTTGGACGCACGCGGAAAGGGAAGACAACATCAGTGAAAGAGATCAAGCAAGCGACTCATACGGACTGAGGCGAGTTATACATGTGAAGAGTGTTCATCGCGAAAGATTAAACCATGTGCCTCTAGCTACCTCAGACTAAGTTTATGGACAATCAAAACCATCTTCAAACTTAAGATGGGGAGTTTTCGCTCATACAGGAGCTCATCAGAAGTGGGAAATACCCACGGTGTCCAGAAGCGGGCTCGCATTGCCTGACAGTGACTGTGAGGTGTGGAAGGCTAGTGGCAGATTCGGACGCCGATTTACAGGGTTGTGGCCGGAGGTTCAGGCCTAAAGCAAGCCTCGGCCTGTTATTCTGTATTTAAACCAAGGCCGTGAGTTTGGGAGTTGCACACGGGGAACACGAGGGTCCACTGTTGAGCCGAACACCTCACAGCTGTGTTATGCAGGGGCATAAGATCGGCACAACACATGTCTGAGCACTTAGCTAGTACCTATGCTGCCAGTATGGTGTGTCGTGTAATCCTTCTACTTGCAAAAAACATGTTTGGCATATAGCAGCGAGCGCCATGAGCTCAACTCTTCAATCCACTGGAGTCGAATATAGGGGCAGCGTTCTAAGATGGCGCTTGACGAAAACCTTTCATTGAAAACCAGGCACAAGAATTGGATATCCCGAGACAACTACTAGGAAATTTATTGGTGTGAATCAGAGCACTGTTTGGGAGCTCCAATCGGTAAAGACTGACGACTTTGAAATTTGCATACTGTGACGCAAGAAGAAGGGCATATCGACCGTAAATTGTAGGCATTGTGAAAATCACAACGACCGCGAAAACTGGGGAGGTGAAACACTGTTAAAGTCCGTGTTGGACCAAACTTTGATGACTGTGTAAATCACAATAGTCTATCACCACGTGAGTCGCTGGTTTTGGCATCCGATGTGTGTCCGAAAGACTTTGTCTTAGAGGAGTTGGGCGTGACGTAGTCTTGGCTAAATGCGTAAGGCCTAGGGTTTTATAACTTCGGGGAGAATGGCGTGCGTTTTCTTCTTCCTTAAACCATGAAATTTTCCCGCTTTGCACGGTGGATTTTTCTGGGCACACCCCACCGTTTTCCCACGAGGTGACTTTAGTTTGACACATGGTACATACAGAAAGCAGCGCATATTGTTTTTGCTTTCTCAGACATGAAGTTAAATCACCTCTGAACTAACGCGAAGCAACAGCTATGGGGTTAAAAGCTAAAAAAAGAACGCAAAAACTATTTCGAGGAAAAGCATATTCACTCTCTGATACTGCGCGAAGTTATATCTAGCACGGAAGAATGAAAATTCGCACAACATTCTTCTGGGTCGTCCAGCCTGCGCCACCTGTCAAGCCGATGGAACTCGCATATTCAATTCTGTTGGCATCGTGCTAACTGACCAAAAACGGTGGACTTGATTGCCTGGGCGCGGCACTGCGCGCTATATGACCCGAAAGTTCGATCGCCGATTTTGACCTTGTGCTCCCCAGCGTAATGGTGCATAGACGGTGACCTACGCGTGAGTGATGGTAGGTTTGCGTTGTTTCTACTGTACTCGCTCTCACCCTTCCCTCACCTGCCGGTATGACCGATGGCGGGCGGATACACAACAGACAGACAGGACTTTGTAATCGATAGCGCTGACTTCCTACCGACCACCAACGTCGTACATACTCGCAAAGTCATTGATGCCACCGTCACCACCACCACCACCACGAGTAGGAATAACTCTACAAACACGAATATCGGCAGCGACAAATAACCCACATCGAAGCAGATGCAATAGCTGCAGCCAGCATTACTATGAACGCAAACCTGTTGGCAGTCGGAGGGGGTGGGGGAAAAACTGGTCCATGGAAATAAGTTTTTCTCATAATCTTTCAAACAGAAATGATAACTCGGAAGAAGATGCGA